GGAATATAGTGGCAGTGTCAATAATTGAACAATTTATTAAACATGATTACAATTATTGTTCTCTGGTTACTTTAGTCAGGATTTAATATTCTTCACCTTCCTCCTCTTCTCCTTCATCGACGGAGTCAACACCAACCTCTTCGTAATCCTTCTCAAGAGCTGCCAGATCTTCACGAGCCTCAGAAAATTCACCTTCCTCCATACCTTCTCCGACATACCAGTGCACGAAAGCACGTTTGGCGTACATCAAGTCAAACTTGTGATCCAGACGAGCCCAGGCCTCTGCGATAGCGGTGGTGTTGCTCAACATGCAGACGGCGCGCTGTACCTTAGCCAAATCGCCACCGGGAACAACTGTTGGTGGTTGGTAGTTGATACCTACTTTGAAACCAGTTGGGCACCAATCTACGAACTGGATGGTACGTTTGGTCTTGATGGTAGCAATGGCGGCATTGACATCCTTTGGTACGACATCACCACGGTACAACATACAACAGGCCATGTACTTGCCATGACGTGGATCGCATTTTACCATCTGGTTGGCTGGCTCAAAACAGGCATTGGTTATTTCACTGACTGACAACTGCTCATGATAAGCCTTCTCGGCTGAAATCACAGGGGCATAGGTAGCCAATGGGAAGTGGATACGAGGATAGGGCACCAAGTTGGTCTGGAACTCCGTCAAGTCAACATTGAGGGCACCATCAAATCGCAAGGAGGCAGTGATGGATGAGACAATTTGGCCAATCAGACGGTTCAAGTTGGTGTAAGTTGGACGCTCGATGTCCAAATTACGGCGACAGATGTCGTAGATAGCCTCATTGTCAACCATGAATGCGCAGTCAGAATGTTCCAGTGTAGTGTGGGTGGTCAGGATCGAGTTGTATGGCTCAACGACAGCAGTAGCAATCTGTGGAGCAGGGTACACGGCAAACTCCAATTTGGACTTTTTACCATAGTCTACTGATAGACGTTCCATCAACAAGGACGTGAAACCAGAACCGGTACCACCACCAAAACTATGAAAGATGAGAAATCCCTGCAGACCAGTACACTGATCAGCAAGTTTACGAATTCTATCTAAAACCAGATCAATGATTTCTTTCCCGATTGTGTAGTGACCACGAGCATAGTTATTTGCAGCATCTTCTTTACCAGTGATCAGCTGTTCAGGATGGGAATAGTTGGCGGTATGTACCAGTTCGTACT